ACAAACTGAAATGACTGAGAAATAAGAAATGTGATTAACAAGAACTGATTGTTAGGTTGCCTGTGTTTGCAGCACATTCCCTACACATATGTGCCTGATACTTACAGGCTGGTGGGATGGACCTTTTGGGTGGCCAATAGAGGCTTCAGTGGGTCCTAGGACACAGAACAAGGAGAGGATGTTCTTCCTGCTGTCTGTCCTACATATGCCCTGTAAGTTCCCTAAGGACAGAATGAAAATTACATGTTCTATTATTACTGGCATCCAGTTGTGTGCTGAGGAATATGCCTTCTGAGTAAGCATTCCTGTTGCCCTCTTAATCCTCCTCATATCTAGGGCTCTCTTACGCTTTCAATTGTAAGTCACTCTGAGATGTCAGGATCACCTCACCTGAGACTGTGACCTCCACAGGGGCACTGGCATATGACAACAGGTAGAGAGCTGAGTCTTGAGAACCATAGCACCTGTAGGTGCCTGAGAGGGTGGAGGCTACAGCAGTTACAGAGAGAGTTCTGCCTGGAACTTATTATCTACGAACTTTGATTTAAGTCGAAGGGGCTGCTTGACTGATCCATCCTTACACAGAATGAATGTCTCCACAGAGTACATTGACCAACACAGCAGTGTTACATTCTCTCCTGAGAGTACTGGGAAGTTAGGCTTCACTGAGAGGGAAGGAGTGTAGCGAATCTGTCCTAAAGAAACGAGGATTGGCTTTTTTTTGATGAGAGGTTGGCTTTTTTGTTTTGAGCTTAAATCACACATGACTCCCCCACTCTGAGATCCTAGGTTTCTGTCTCCTTTGTCTGACTGTGCTCTTCTCTTGTTCTCCTCCTTCTGCATCTGTTCCAGTCCAAGATTCCTGTCACTGGTCCTAGCCATTAGCTTTTTAGCTACTCCTTGGGAGCCTGAGCAGAGGCTAGGTACCTGGTTGAGTCTGTTGAGTTCCTCACCTGTGATCAGGATGTGCAGGGGGGTCCCTGGAGGCCAACTGAGACTGACGACTCAGAGGAGAGGTTGTGTGCACCATAGCACCTGTATTGGCCTCCAGTCGAGTGGCTCACATTGCCCATTGTGAAGTTGGCCATGGAGAGGCCAGTGTTGCTCCACTGGCTAAATTGTTGCATGATGTCAGCTCCCCCTCTTTGCACAGAACAAATTTATCATAGTTGATGTCAGAGCAACACCGCAGTGTGAGGCTCATTCCAGGGTCCAGGATATGGCCTTGGTGAGTCAGCAGAGAGGGCTTCTTGGACAACCCTAGAGGGAAGGTGACAATGACTGAGGACTAGGTTCTTATCAAAAATCCATGCCCACCCATCCTGCCCAACAACACCACAGCTTCTCTCCAGGCAGGGCTGTGATTGAGAACACAGGCTCTCCATTTAGTCCTTCTCTACCTGCAACTCTGGAGAGGGGCAGACCATTGCAAGTGCTTAGGGTTTCAGAATGATTGGAGAATGTTGGTGATGGCTCACCTGAGATGTGAATTTCCAGAGGCTCACTAGGTATTGACCACAGCTGTGGGATATTCTTGTAGTATCCATAACATCTGAGTGTCTCTGTATGGTTTGGGGTCATAGGTCCCATAACAAACAGGGCTTGGTACTGTCCACTAGAACGTATGTGAACTTGTGAACTTCTGATTTTCCTTGGTGAGAATGAATTTATCATAGTCTCTTGGAGAGACTCATTGGAGGGTCATGTTCCTTCCCAGTGTCACCACAGGGCTGGGCAGTAGTGATATCCTGATTTCATTGTAGTCATACATTCTTAGGAGAGAAGGAGGCAGTCTCTTACATGTTCTCTCACTATCACAATGTTCTCTTGGAACACTTTGTGGGAGGAATATACTCCTGAGAGCAGAGCCTGAGGTTGAGAATCTGACTGTCTCCTCACCTGTCACCATCAGCTCCAGGGTGTCACTGGGTTCTGACCAACCAACTGTTCTCTAGGAACATTTGAAATCACCCTGATTTTTCTGATCTAAAGTTGAGAATGAGAATCTAGCCTTGTTTGCTGGCTTCTGTTGGTTCTTTGTGATTCTTGTATATGGGTATTCGATTTTATAGAGACTGTATGTATTCTTTTGTCTCTTGGTCTCCTCACACAGGAAAGTCACCTTAGTCCCTGTTGAGAACACATAGTCTGGCTGTACTCTGAGGATAGGCTTAGGAAGGGATCTGGCAAGTAACAGAGCAGCTAAGACTCAGGACACCCACCCTCAAACTGCAGTCCTTAACCCCATGACCTTCCAGCCACTCCCAGGAATAATACACGTGGTGTCCAGGTCTGGCTCCTGGATAGGAGGAGAAGAGCATTTCAGAAGATCTGCAGACACACTCACCTGTCAGCACTGGGATTCTGAGGTCCAGAGTCAGTCCTGGAAGAGAGTTCTTTGCAAGAGATTTGTTCCTAAGGCTGAGCAAGTCCTCCTCTCTGCAGAACTGCCTGTGGTTTCCTGATGGATGAGTGCTGACCTACTAGCCCTGATCATTTCTAGACATCAGTATACCCTCCCCCCTTCACATCTCACCTAGACAGAGCAGGGCTGTGAAGGTGAAGGTCATGGCGTGTCCTCTCAGAGACTGCAAATGTGCTTGAGGGTAGAGCTACATTGCCTTTCTGAAGGGATTGGAAAGACTGTGACCCTGGAGGCAGGGCTGTCCCCATGACATGGCCATATTTCAGCAGCCCCATAGGAAGGGGAACTGCCCTCCTCAGGCACCATGCTCTGACTTCCTCAAGGCTGGGACGAGACCAAGAAGTAAACTCTTTGCCATCAGGTCTTGCCTCAGTCTATGGGGTGGTGAACTGGGATGGGGGGGACCACCTGAAAGAGAGAATGGGGGACAAGGGTATGCAAAGAAGGACAGCAAGTCAAGAAGTGTAATCAAGCTGTTGAATATTTATTGTTCCCACACTAGGTTTTATACACATAGAAGCAGGATATGGGGAAGGGGATGATGTAGGGTCTCTTTGTTTTTGGGGAGCACAGGTGTTCTCACTGGGAGTACAGATGTTCTCAAGAACAGGATATTGGCTGGGTGAAATGTTCGCAGAAGAAACAGAACAGAACAGGTTGCTAGGTACCTGTCCATAAGATCTATTGGTTATTTGTTCTTATCTAAGCTAGTACTTTCCCACCAAGGCTACCTGTCTACAAGATATATGACCATTTACTGTGATCTAAGCTAGCACTTTCCCACCAAGGCTACCTGTTCATAAGATCTATGATTATTTGTTCTTAATTGAATTAGTGCTTTCCCACAGAGGCCAAGACTTTGTGCTACTAGGCACATATAGCTGACTAAGGAGTTAATGTTTAAGCAGGGTCACTCCTAACAAGGTCTTATACAGATGACATTTGCTCAGCCTACCAGTGTCTGCCTCACCTGTGCTCATCACTGTCACAGGCATGCTGTAGCAGACATGTGTGATCATCTCACACAACAGTAAAAATTTAAGAATGGTTTTGCTTTGTTCCTTTTTGCATTTTTATGTAAAACATTTTCTTCTTTTCAACAGTTTTTTAATTTAATTTTTATTGGATATTTTATTTACATCTCAGATGTTATTTCCTTTCCCCATTTCACTCTCACCCAGAAAACCCCATCCCATCCCCCTTCCTCCTGCTTCTATGATGATATGCCCCACCCACCATCCCACCCACTCCCACTTCCCTGCTCAAGAATTCCCCCACACTGGGTCATCTAGCCTTCACAGGACCAAGGGCTTCCTCTCCCACCTATGCCCTACAGGGCCATCCTCCCTTACATATACAGCTGGAGCCATGGGTCCCTCCCTATGTGCTCCCAGGCTGGTGATTTAGACCCTGGGAGCTCTGATTGATCGGTATTGTTGCTCTCCCCAAGGGGCCATGAACCCATTCAGCTCCTTCAGTCTTCTCTTTCAGTCCTCCATTGGGAACCCCATGGTCAGTTCAATGGTTAGCTGTGAGCATCTGCCTCTTTATATGTCAGGCTCTGGCAGACCTCTAAGGAGACATCTGTATCAGGCTCCTGTTAGCATGTACTTCCTGATATCCACATCAGCTTTTGTCTTTGATGACTGCACATGGGATGGATACTCAGATGGAATGGTCTCCAGACAGCCCCTCCTTCAGCTTCTGTCCCACACTTTGTCTCCATATTTGCTCCCTTGAGTATTTTGTTACTCATTCTAAGAAGAACAGAAGTACCCATATTGTGGTCTTCCTTCTTCATGAGCTTCATGTGGTCTGTGAGTTGTTCTTGAGTATTGCAAGCTTTTGGACTAATTTCTGCTTATCAGTGTGTGCATACCATGTGTGTTCTTTTTTGATTGGCTTACCTCACTCAGGATGATACTTTCTAGTTCCATTCATTTGCCTAAGAATTTCATGAATTCGTTTTTTTTAATAGCTGAATAATACTCCATTGTGTAAATGTACCACATTTTCTGTATCCGTTCCTCTGTTGAAGGACATCTGGGTTATCTGGTTGTGACAATTGTCACCCCATTGTTCTCCAGGGTTTATTCAGCTGATCTGGCTGGCTAGGCGGGTGTTCCCTTCCTCCCTCACCACTCCATGTGCATTCCCTCAAAGCTGTGTGCTTGGTCGAAGAGCACACCATCCCCAAATAGAGGAGGACCAGTTCAGTCAAGGGTAAAGGAGTGGCTGTGCTCCCCAGCTAGAACTTCCAAAAAAAACCTGTTTTCAACATTTTTGATGTTTCTGAGAAGGGTCCTTCTGTGTATATCTGATTGGAATGAGATTTACAGTCTTTTCTTTATATTCTCAAGTGACACATTACCATTTGTTATTGCAAACTTCTCTCCTTTTTTTTTTGACGTTGGGTTCATTGATGGGTGCACAAATATATCCATTGAGTCTCCTTCACAGAGCTTGGGGAGTCCAGTTCCAACAGACATATCTCTGTCAGAGCATCTGGCCCATAGAATACTAGAGAGTCTATAAAGAATGTAAGAGACAAAAAACCAGGAAGGCTTCAGTGAAGTCTTTTTGTAGAAATTGTCAAAGAAATGACTTTTTAATATTTTTGAGAAATAAACAGAATCTAAACAATGCAGTACAGGTGAATATCTTACTGAGGAATGGCAATATTTCCAAGGGTCCCATCTCTAGACAGAGAACTACAGGAAAATAGTGACCATTAGAAGAAAGGGTATTCCTCCATCACAGGTATAAGCCCATTCTTGGAATGTCCAATGCTGAATGGTTAGACCTGTAATTTTTCAAATATGTTATTATTGTACAAGTAATTGATGGTCTTACCACTGCAGGAAACATATTTACTATGAACCTAGTAAACTGTGTAATGTATTTCATTGGTTTATTTTTCAATCTAAGACTATGGAAAATTAATATGTAAGTGTAGCTCTAACACCTCAGAACACATCATCTCTTCTATGAGACAGAGTCCATTACAGAAAACCACAATTTGTGAAATAACAGAGAACACCTAACTGGGCAGTTCTTAGCCCCAGCTGATATATCCACAAGGCAATTCCTGCACCTAAGGCTCAGGAAACGTTGCAGAAGAAGGAGCAGAAAGACTAAGTGCCATAAGACCTGGAAATCTTGTGGAAGATTTTGTCTCCTAGCAAAGACAGGGATACCATTTGGGTAATACCTCAACAATATGATTGCCTAAAGAAGACCTGAAGAGGAACAACACCAGTAGACACACCAATGTGGAAGGAGAATTTCTGTCAGGTCACCAGCTCTAGATGAACAATAGAGAACTAAGAAATGCTGAGAGAGTTAGAATCACTTTTGTTTAGGGACAGCCCCTAGTTTCTCCTGCAATGTCACATGGTGAGCCTCAAAGTCATGAAGAAACAACACTACATGGACTCAGCAGAACATGTTTACATATTTATGCACATAATATTAACATGTATGTATATAACCAAATCAAGTGATCCTTTTGAGAGTGAGTAGGGGAAGCAGAATATGGGAGTTGTTTAAAGGAAGAAATTGGAGTGGCCAGTATAATCATATTTTAATCTTATGAACGTTTGTGTTATGGAGGTAACATATAAATTTTATTAAGTACTTTACATATAAACTCAAATTTAAACTGAAATGACATTAGATAAATAAAATAATTGGTCATACCGGACAGAAAAATTGAAGAAGAAAATGAAAGTCTTTCTCCTAACCGTATGTGAAACACTTGTAAATAGAATTGAATATGCTTAAGATGTGTAATTTGGTAACTTTTATACACATCTACACTATGAATTACCTGCAAGTTCATGACAAAACAGGAAATCATTATATATAAGCAAAAGCAAGCATTGTAAGCAAAGACAGCTTAAAATATCAGTGGGTTCATTTTGTGTTGTCCAGACACTGCTGGGCCTCAGACTTGCCCTTTAGTTTGCTTTCATAGCAGTGTGTCTTTCTTGGAAAAACTAATTTTTCTTCTGAAAGTATTTATCAGTGTGTGATAGCTTCTGGATTATAGATGAGGTCTTGTGTCTACAATGTCTCTCAGTACTGGGACATGATCTCACTTAGACCTGTGCTGGCCCTGTGCATGCTGCCAGTCTCTGTGAGTCCATATTTGCATCAGACACTTATGTCTGGAAACACAGTTTCCTTGGTGTCATCCTTCTCCTCTGGCTCACACAATCTCTCCAACTCCTGTTCCTCAAAGTTCCCTGAGCCTAGAAAGGGCAGCCATTCCATTCAGGATTCAGTGCAGTCAGATCTTTCTCTGCACATCGTTCAGTTGTGAGTCTGTATAATTTCTCATATTATGCAGGAGGAAGCTTCTGTGATAATTGCTGAGCAAGACCTTGATCTAGGAGTCATTTTATTGGTATCTTCCTTTATACAATCAGTATCACCAAGAAGTTGGCCTGTTTCCCTGGAATCCTCCATCTCAAGGGACAACAGTTAACCCTCTCCCTATCAAAGCTCACACTGCTACTCCCCTGAATTCTTACCCAAGAGCAGGAAACTTCACTGCATATTCCATTTCCCACCCATCTGCTCTGCATGCATTTCAGGAAGCCTACTGGCTCCAGGGATACTAACTAAGCCTCTCCCCTCCCAAGCCCCTGGCCAACAACTTGCCTTAAAATACAACCAATAGAAGTTAACTAACACAAAGACACAAAGACACAGAAACACATATACCACACACAGACACACACACAGACACACACACAGACACACACACACACAGACACAAACACACAGACACACAGACACACAGACACACAGACACACACACACACACACACACACACACACACACACACACACACGTACACACTATAAAATGACCTTAAAGCCAATATTACAAAGTTGATAAAGGCGTTAAAACTGAAGTGAATATATATATCCCTTACAGAAATCACAATCAAACATGTGAAAGAAATTCCAGGCACATGGGACAACATATTCCATCACTTTATAGTTTGAGAAGATTGTTGGTTCAGAAAGCAAACGTCCCAGTATGTGGAGGGACAGTAGTTGATTTACTGAAGAAGAATCTCACCATGAAACTCCCACCTTTTTCTGAACCCCAAATACATTTTCTCTCACCACATTATCTCCCGACAGTTCCTCAAGATGAGTACTGGATTTTCTGACAGAAAATTTTGCATCATCGGATTCATTTCCCAGATTGTGTCACCTTGAAAGATAAACTTTTTCTCTTCAGATTATCTCCCAGTTGTACAGTGGCTCTGTCTCTGGCTGCCTCTGGCCTCAAAGACCAGAATCACAAGAGCTATGAGGACCACGACAGCAATCCCCATCCTGATGAGATTCTCCATTGTGTGATCCTGGTTCTCTGGGGCTGTGGATTTAGACAAAGAAGTTACAGAAATTAGGGATGTTCCAAATTCCTGCAAGAAAACTAAGTGTCCACCAAGGGCCCAGTTTTGTCTGGACAAAACATGGTTCTACTGTTTCCTATGCTGTGACTTGCAATTATCTTTATTGGACTGACTTGGGTTTGGGCATCTTCTAGGATGGACAGAAGGTCTCAGCTGGTCCTGAGGATAGAGTAAGAGGAGTAGGATAAATGTTTACTGAAGAGACCTTATTGTTTCCTCTGAGTCGCACTTCATCATTTATTGTAGATGCCCAGTTTTCTTACCACATGAGCTCAAGGACTTCTGGGACGAATCTTTCCTGCGGCGTAGCTCAGTTTGCTTTCTTATTCTTACTCAATACTTTAGGACCATTGTGCTAACAGAAGACCAATGACATACCAGTGAAACCAGCAAATTCAGAGTAGCACACATCACTGGTCTTAGCAGTCACAAAAAATACTTAGTGTGGTTTCCCCGGAGAGTCCATCTGAGTATGTACAGGCTCATATTCTCAATGTTTGTGTGTGTGTGTGTGTGTTTTCCCTTGTCACACTCAGATCCTTTTATTTCTCACTTAATTTGACAATTTCCCTGCTCGCTCTCTCTCTCTCCCTCTCTCTCTCTCTCTCTTTCTTTTTCTCTCTCTCTTTCTTCCCCCCTCTCTCTCTCTCTTTCTCTCTCTCCCTGTTTACCCCTTTGAGTATGCCACACCGTCATCCTCATCTCTGTGTAAATGCAAGTGTTACTCAGAAAATATAAGTTGATGGTAAGCAGGTGGGTTTTCAACCTCTTAGTAACCCAAATAATAGGGCTAGTTCTTATTATGCATAGATCCAAGACTGATACATCATAAGATTTACTTATCTAGCCTTTACAGATAATAGTTATTGTCCTCAGGTCTGGGCCCGAGCACTGAGCAGATCTCGGGTGGTGGCTCTGCACCCAATCTCACAAAACCCAGAGGAAGCAGACCTCTCAGGAATGCTAACCCAGGCATTATCTTAGAATTGCATATTGCAGAAACACAGCCTTGGTGTATCTACTCATTAAGCAAGCTTAGCAGACCTTCTGGAACCTCTGATGTCCTGAAATTTCAGCTGGATGCAGGAAAGACACAGACATCAGAGGCTTATCAATTTACTCCCCCCCTACCCGTCTTCTAACACCTCAAAGCTTGTAACCATTTTGAAGAAGTTAGTGAAGAGGTGACACCCCTATTTCCTGGCTTTGAGACTGAGGTGGTCAACATTGGGCTGTCTTTCTAGGGAAAAGTAGTGGTTTTGTTGTAACAGGAAGGAATAGCTAGGATTTATTGCATAGTCATAACATATTGGTAGAAATCTGTATAATTATTAAGCTGAAATTATGATTTCTTAATGGTACAAAATTTACTTTGATTTCAAATTTAAGGTTTTCATTGGTACGAGTTTCTTATTGATATAAAAGTGAGATTAATATTGTAACTCTCATAGGCATTGTGCTTATATAACACATTTAGGAATACAAGGCTTAGACCCAGTCCTTCTTTAACTCTTTTAACTGATTTGAGATGGTTAGCCTGTGAGTTAAAGGCCTATAGCAAATTCATGGCTCCGAGTTTATTGTTAGGGTGTTTTCTATATTTTATTTAGAAATAGCTGAGAGGAGTTAACAGACAACAGTCCAGATTGCCTTACATGGGTAGTTGGTTTTCAAAACGTCAGAAGTCCACAGAATTGACAATACAAACATTTCTGTATTAATGTTCATTTTGATTAGAGACCTGTCTGCTCCTGACAGCTTCCTATCTTGGGTTCTAAGAAGAAACTGAGGGTCTTTGAAGTTACTCCAGTTGTGGTGAGACAGCTACTAGGCAAGAATTGCCTCTTTTCATCTACAGACAAATTACCTTCCTGAAAAGGACACACTTGCAGAATAGTTGACTGATTATATCTGCCAAGACAGAGTAATCAGCCCTTAATAATTCTGCATCACTAGGTCTGTCAGATGATCCTGGACCAGAAGGCTGAAGATCAGATGCTCCAACATTTTGTAGTCTAGCGACTGTCCAGGTGTTCAGCAGTCTCTATAAATTGGCTAAGTTTTAGAAGCTATGCTTTGTGCTTCCCATAATTTCAGTTAATTCAGTCATTCTGGATTTCTGACAGGGTTGAAGACTTATAGTCTCATAGCCAATCCCAGATATTTACTTTGAGAGAAAAGATTTGAGAGGATGGTTTTCAGCTGCCATTCATTCTAAAGCCAAGAAAAAAGCCAGGTTCAGAATTAAGTCTTTTAGTTAGGAGAGATGACAGAGGTTCTGGTTAGTCAACAAAATGTGGGTCTGGGTCTTAGGTATATCTTGTACCTTACTGATACAAATTGGTATAGTTATGCTCTAATTGTATTTTGAGAGAAAGTTTTGTTTTAACAGGAAGGGTGATATTTAGGAGGAGCTACGTTGGAAGGAGTAAAGAGAGGAGGAGGAGAAGGAGTGGGGGAGCTAGGAGATGAGAGAGTGTGTGGTCGGGAACATCGAGGTAGATGTTTATGTGTCTCTGCCAGTCAAAGATAGTTGGTATATCTAGGCTGGATATTGGGTTACACTTCTGATTGTATGGACATCTTGTTATTGGGTATTAGCAAACTTATAAAGCCTTTGATTAACATTTAAAAAAAAGTTACTAAAGAAAAAGTGATGAGGAGGGAGGGTGATGGAATACATGTGACAGGAAATCAGATGAGGAAACTGGCTGGAGGAAGAAAGTGAAGGGACAGAGGGAAATAAATCAGAACTCTAATGACACATGTATAAGGATGATGTAATAAAACCCAGTACTTTGTATGTTAACTTAAAATTCTAATAAAGAAAGAAAAGCAAGAAGAGGAGGGGGGATAGGATAGGGGGTTTCTGGGGGAGGGATGGTTAAAGCGGATGACATCTAAAATGTAAATAAATAAAATATCCAATAAAGAATAAATGAAAAATGAAAAAATAAAAAATAAAATTAAACACCTCATCCTAAAAATAACAAACAATAGTTATTAACACAACAGGACATGTTATACTTGAGTAACATCACTTCAACCCTAGGAGGTCCCACCCCCACTTTCTATTGTTCAGATAGGTGCACTCAGGCCTTGGAGAAGACATTCTTAGCTATCACCTCTCTAGTAAAGGTTGAACACATACAGTCACATTTCCTCTATTCCTCTCTGGAGGGAAGGTTGCGGACTTCACAAAGAAATAGATTTTGATTGCAATTGGTGGACTTTATTTTGCTTGATATGAAGCTTGTTTTCGTGTAGTTCTTATGGCGAATTCAGTGTGATAGGGTTAAATTATGGATTTGAAATCTGTTTTGAACAGAAAGATAGTATAGCAGGGTTTGTAATTATTACACCAAGGCTGTGTCTTCTCCTGGACTCAACATGATCCATGACTGCACTGAGAGCAAGGATCTGACAGGGATCCTGTGAATATTGTTTATATGTGGTTGAGAAGAAGAGGTTGGCACTGGGAGCCAGTTCCTGTTTAGGATCCTTTATCTTTCTGTGTCCTCGCCAAGATTCTCTTTCAAAGTACATGAAGTCTCTGGGTTCCATTAACAGGGAGTATAGTGTACTATACTCTAGAATGATTCAGATTATTCCCCACCATCATAAGGTTGAATACCCATCTGACTGACACTGTGCAGCATGTCAAACCCTATGCTATCTGATTATTGTTGTAAATTGAGAATGCTGAGACACCACTTCAGTTCAGAGAGATGAGGATCACCTCAACGTGCACCGTGAGCTCCACAGTAATTGGTCTGTGATAAGATGAGTACAGATGAGTGCAGGCATCTGAAGCACCTGAAGATGCTCCTAAGTTTGGACATCACAGATATCAGAGAATCCTAAAATTAAGCCCCATGAGCTAACCTGAAGGAACCTAAATCCTCTACCATAACCATTTGAAACACTCCTGCCTTGTGTCAACAGACTATTGGCCAGAACCACTGCATCATCAGCACAACTTAGACATGTGAATCAGGCCTATCTCATTACACTGAGAGCAACAGCATCCCAGAAAGGGAAGTGCTTATCCAAGTCAGGATCTCCAGAAGCAGCGGGATCAAGCACATAAGTAGCTCTTACCTACCTATCCTTGTCTACATTCCAACAGAGACTTTATTAGCACTCTTTGGCATGACTCTATGCTTGTGAAATGCTTGTTTCTTAGGAGCGTTAAGGGGAGGTGACAGTCTGGGTTCCTTCCTCACAACCTTACCCACCTCCACATGATCCAGCCTGAACAAAAATGTCCCTCTTTGGGGGCTACTTTCTGTAGCACAATAGTTAAGCCCCAGCCTCTGGGTTCCAATAGCAGGGAGTGTAATGAGCATTCCTAGAATGATTCAGGGTATCCCCCATCATCATGAGGGAAAATATTCATCTGATTGACACTCTGGAGCATTTCAAATTCTATTGCAGCTAATAATTGTTGTAAATGGACAATGTTGGTTTCTCTTTCGGGATATTTCTTGATCTCTCATACTTAAAAGCTGAAATGACTGAGAAATGAGTTTGTTGATTACCAAGAGCTGTTTGATAGGCTCCTGTATTTGCAGCATGTTCTGTATGCAAAGATCCCTGATACTTACGTGCTGCTGTGATGGGCCCTTTGGGTGGCCAGCTGGAGGCTTCAATGGGTCCTAGGAAACAGAGCAAAAGACGATGTTCTCCCTGCTGTCTTACATCTGCCCTGCAAACCCCCTAAGGACAGAGTGAATATTACATGAAGGATCATTGCTTGCATCCAATTCTGTGCTGATGAAAGTGTCTTCTCACAAAGTCTTCCATTTGTCTTCTTAATCCCACCCAAATCAAGAGCTCTGCTAGAGTGTGAACTGTGACACATGCTGACATGTCAGGATCACCTCACCTGAGACTGTGAGCTCCATAGGGGCACTGGCATATGACAACAGGTAGAGAGACGAGTCTTGAGAACCATAGCACCTGTAAGTGCCTGAGAGACGAGAGGTCACAGCACTCATGGAGAATTCTGCCTGGAACTGCCGATCTTTGAACTTTGATTTTAGTCGCAGGGGTGGCTGGACTGATCCCTCCTTGGACAGAATGAAAGTGTCCACTCTGTACGTTGACCAACACAGCAGGGTCACATTCTCTCCTGAGTGTACTGTGGAGTTAGGCTTCACTGAGAGGAAAGGAGTGACAGGGAACTGTCCTGAAGAGAAGAGAAATGATGAGAGGCTGGCTTCCTTGTTCTGAGCTAAAACCACACATGATTCCACCCTGAGAACCTGTGTCTCTGTCTCTCTCTTTTCCCTGACTGAGCTCAGCTCCTGCTCTCCTCTTCCTGCATCTGTTCCTGCCTAAGATTCCCAGCCCTCAGCTCCTCAGCTCCCCCATGAGAGCCTGAGCAGAGGCTAGGTACCTGATCGAATCTCTGTAGATCCTCACCTCTGATCAGGATGTCCAGGGCATCACTGGAGGCCGACCACTCAGAGGACAGGTTGTGCACACCATAGCATCTGTATTGGCCTCCAGTGGAGCGACTCACATTGCCCAGTGTGAAGTTGGCCATAGAGAGGCTAGTGTCGGTCCACTGGCTAGGGTGCTGCATGATGTTAGATTCCTCCACCTTGTACAGAGCAAATCTGTCATAGTTGATGTAAGAGCAACACTGCAGTGTGAGGCTCATTCCAGGGTCCAGGATATGGCCTTGGTGAGTCAGCAGAGAGGGCTTCTTGGACATCCCTAGAGGTAAGGTGACAGTGACTGAGGACTTGGCTCTTACCAAACACCTTTGCCCTCCCATCTTGCCTAGTATTTGTCTTTCTTCTCCCCAAGCAGGGCTGTGATTGAGAACACAGGCTCTCCATTTAGTCCTTCTCTACCTCCAACTCCCCAGACAGGCAGCCATGCCAAAGACTTAGGGTCTCAGAATGATTGGAGAATGACAGAACGGACTTACCTGAGATAAGTATTTGTTGGAGCTCACTGGGTACTGACCACAACTGTGGGGCATGCTTGAAGTAACCATAACATCTGAATGTCCCTGTGAGGTTTGGTGTCATGGGTCCCATAACAAACATGGCTTGGTACTGTTCACTAGAAGGAATATACTGTGTTACCAGTGAGCTGGTGAACTTCTGATCTTCCTTGGTGAGAATGAATTCATCATAGTGACTCTGTGAGGCACAGTGGAGTGTCATGTTCCCTCCTACTGTCACCACAGGGCTGGGCAGCACTGACAGCCTGGGTTCATAGTGCTGATAGATTCCTAGGAGAGAAGGAGGAAGTTTGTTACATGTCCTCACAGTGTCACAATGTTCTTTTGGATCACTGTGTGGGAGGGGGAGTACTCCTGAGAACAGGGCCTGTGGGTAGGAATCTGACTGTCCCCTCACCTGTCACCACCAGCTCCAGGGTGTCACTGGGCTCTGCCCAACCAGCTGAGCTGTAACAATAACAGCGATATTGTCCTGCATGCTCTTCTGTTACAGAAGGGACAAAGAACTTGGCCTTGTTCCCAGGCTCCTGTAGGGTCTGTGTGCTCCAGGTTTCGTGGTTTACCTCATTATGCAAAAAATATATTTCTGCAGCCAGGTTCCCCTGACACCAGATGGTCATGGCTCCTCTGTAGGGGATCACAGAGCCTGGTTCAGCCTTAATGGTTGGTTTTTGGAGATTCCCTACATCGAATTAGGAGAGAAGCACATGGGTTTGTTTGAAAGTGGCACAGAGAATGTCCCACAGTGGATGTTGCTTTCTTCTTTTTATTCTTCTCTCACACAATACACAGGAAGATGGCATCCCATGCTCCCCTCTTTCCTAATGTTACACAATCCTCCCCACTTTCCTTCATCCCCAGATTCACTGTTCCTCCATTTCCTTTCAGAGAATAGAAGGCTTTTCAGTGACATTTACTGAATGTGGCATAACAAGATACAAGAACATTGGGCACATACCCTCATATTAAGACTGGACAAGGCAAACCACTGGGAGCAAAAACATTTCATGTGTAGGTAAAAGTGTCAGAGACATCTCCACTCCCACTGAACCTGAAGCATGCCAGGTGATTGTGGCAAACACATTTAATCTGCGCACTCAGGAGAGAAAGCCAGGTGGATCTCTGAGTTGGAGGCTAGTCTAGTCTACAGAGTGAGGTCCAGGACAGTAAAGCAGAAGTACACAGCAAAATGCAACCCTCCTGCAGCCAAACAACAACAACAGCAACAACAACAAAACCATGCCAAACAGCCACAGCATGTATGCAGAGATCCTAGGACAGACCCATGCAGACTCTGTGAGCCCTGATGATTTGTGCTTAGTTGGTTCTGTGTTCTCCTGGCTGAGTTCTGCAGGTGCCCTCAACCTCTCTACCTACTGCCACCCTTCCTCTCTCTGTTCTTCCAGATTCCCTGAACTCTAGTGGATGGTGCTAAAGCTGATCCAGATTAACAGAAGGCCTCATGAAGAATCATCTCCCTACAGGGAACTCTGGGCTTTGCTGTCACTCTCAGCCTTTCTTTCTATATCTTGGGTCCAATTGTTTCCTGTGCTGTGTGTCCAAGTTCTAAAGAGCCCTGGATCCTCACATGCACACATACCAAGTGCTCTCTGAGCGACTGTATCATTTCAATATCATTCTATGGAAATGGTGAGGTTCCTTACCTGAGACCAGGACCTCCAGGGGTTCACTAGGATCTGACCACACCTGTGGTTTGTTCTTGTCATAGCTGTAGCATCTGTATATCCATCTCTGGTTGGGGGTCACAGGACCCACAGAGAACAGGGCCTGGAACGTCCTAGTAAAGAGGCTATACTGTGAGTCTTGTCTCCAGGAGAGCTTCTGTGGTCCTTCTACCATAAGAATGAACCCGTCATAATTCAACCGAGACTCACACTGGAGTGTGACATTCCCTCCTGATGTCGCCACAGGGCTGGTCTGGGCTGAAAGTCTGGGTTTCGAGTAGGCTCCTAGGAGAGAAGGGGCAGTGAGTTAAATGTTGCCAGCCCTCATTATCCTCCTTGGTTCTGAGGTGGGAGTGTGGGTGAGTGGGCATTCCTATGAACAGACCCAAGTCTGGACAGTCAAAACCTGAGACCTGGGACCCTGTGTGTTCTCTCACCTGTCACCACTAGCTCCAGATGGTCACTGAAGTCTGATGATTTAGCCTGGGTCCTGTAGAAACATTGATATTTTCCTGCATCGTGCTGGTCTACATTTGAGAGTGAGAATCCAGTCTTGTTTTCTGGCTTCCTTTGGTTCTTTGTGACTCTTTTATATAGGTATCCATTTTTATAGAGAATGTACTCTTTGGCTCCGATGGTCTCTTCACACAAGAAGGTCACCTGTGTCCCCATTGAGACCAGAGAGTCTGGGTGTGCTCTGAGGATAGGCTTAGGGAGGGACCCTGCAAGTAACAGAGCAGCTAAGTCTCAGGACACCCTCAGACTGCAGTCCTTAACCCCATGGCCTTCCAGCCACCCCCAGGAATAACAAATTTGTGGTGTTTTTCACCATCACTGCCCAGGCATGGCTCCTGGACAGGAAGAGAAGGGCATTTCAGGAGATCTGCAGACACACTCACCTGTCTGCACTGGCATCCAGAGGCCCAGAGTCAGTCCTGGAAGAGAGTTCTTTGTAAGAGATTTGTCCCTAAGGCTCAACAAGTCCTCCCCTCTGCAGAACTGCCTGAAACCTTGGGGTCTCCTGATGGAAGAGTGCTGAGCTACAAGCCCTGATCATTTCTAGCCCTCAGTATCCCCTCCCCCTCTTCACATCTCACCAAGACAGAGCCTGGCTGTGAAGGTGAAGGTCATGGCATCTCCTCTCAGTGGCTGCAACTGTGCTTGAAGGCAGAGCTACAGAGCCTTTTTGAAGGGATCGGAAACAGGGTGTGGCCCTGGAGGCAAGGCTGTCCTTACGACATGGTCACATTTCACCAGCCCCACAGGAAGTGGAAATTCTCTCCTCAGACTCTATTCTCTGACTTCCTCAATTCTGTGACTAGGCCAGGCAGTAGACTCTCTGCAATCAGGTCTTACACAGATGACATTTCCTCAGCTCACCATGTCTGCCTCACCTGCGCTTGTCACTGTCAGAGCCATATTGTAGCAGACATGTGTGAACATCTCACACAACAGTACAAATTTAAGTGTGGTTTTGCTCTGTTCCGTTTCCCATTTTTACATGAAATATTTCCTTCTTTTCAACATTTTTGATGTTTCTGAGAAGGGTCCTGCTGTTTATATCTTCCTGGAGTAAGATTTACAGCCTTTTCTTCATAGTTGCAAGTGGTGCATTAGCATTGGGCACTATAATTTCTGTTTTTTTTTCACATTTGTATTTTTCTTTACAATTTTAGTGTGGGACTGTAATTTGGCCATGCCCCAAAACCCAGAGACCTAACACAGAGCCCTCGCTAGGTCAGGAGGCTAACAGGTCTCTGCCTTAAAATTTACGTATTACCTGGAGCCCCACCCACTTCCAATATAAAAACGAACACCTTCCGACATGTTTCGGGAGAGCCTTTTATCATCTAAACCCACCGTCGCCGTGACAGTGAATCTGGACGTGTTCAACTCTACATGTCTCGTGAAATCTTGGATTCATTACGTAAGCCAAAACCCACGCGGAAGGGCGGGAGTGGGAGAAAGTTAGCGAGCCGCCGGATACTTTCTCCTGAGAGTCGAGGTTTCCAGAGAGCCTCAGCACGCTGTCGCGCTCTCGCTGAGTGGCGGTGCGCTGGATGCTCTCCGCCCACTTTTGTTTGAGCCCCAGAAACTCATCTGGCGCACAGCATCTCAGCGTCTCAGCTCTAGGGACTCTGTAGCCGCCTGTATCAGGGAGAGCTGCCAATGAGGTCGTGGCTCCCAGGACCGCCCTGACATCTGCGCGCAGGCTCATGGGCGCTGACCTGCGCCCGCGCCCAGGCCGCCTATGCGCGACCCGGGCGTGAGATCTGTCCTACATTTTAGGAATTCAATTTCTATTAATTTCCGTAGTGTTTATTTTTTGTGTTTGTATATTTTTTGTATATGTACATGCATGTGTGTCAAAATACATGTGTGGAGGTCAGAATATAATCTCAATAATAAATTTTCCTTTTACCATGTTGATCCTGTCAATCAGAGTCAGGTCTTAAGTTGGCAGCAGGCCCTTATATACTGAGCCATCTCATTGTCCCTACACTTATCATCATCGTTTTCCTAAGTCCTTCTGCTTAGTCAACAAATTATGTGGTCATGAGGATACTAGTGCAAACAGCTCTCCAGGTGTTTATTTGAGTTGTTTGGGATAATGGTTGTTGGTGTATGAATATGGCATGATTCCTGCTGAAGTTCAACACACACTGGTGCAGGCATGGGCAGCATTTGGGAGCACCACTGTACCATTGTGTTGCAGTTGTAAACTTGAGAAGCTAGCAATGGAGTTGCTGGAGGATGGCAGCACACAGGCCCAGCACGAAGTACAGGGTGGAACTTTCTGGATGTTGTAGGCAGCCAGGGTTGTGTCTCCCTCCATCTGCTGGTGGGAAATCTCAGCAGCTGCTAGAGTTTTGATGACATGAATTCTTGGTCCTGAATCCTCAATGGTGTCACTGAATTCAACCTCAAAAATGATGGACTTGCCCTTCAGTGACTTGTCAAATATTGACATGTTCATGTCTGCATGGTAGCACAATTCAAGAGAAAGAACTCAGTAAAATTATATTTTTCCTGTTTATTTTTTTTCTGTGTTAGGGATCGATGGAACAGCCTCCAGTGTTTTAAGCACATACTCTACCAGTGAGCTACACAACTGTTTTACTCTGTAGTTTTCAGTGTTGGGTGTTTTAATTTTTCTCTGTTGTCTTTTTTCCTATGCTGATGGGTTTAGTTATCTTTGTAGTTGTATTCACACAGTCCCTGGCTATGTAGTCCTGGTTATACTCACTTTTGTTTTGTAGACCAGTCTAAACTGGACCTCGTAGATATTTCCTCCCTATGCTTCCCAAGTGCAGGGATTAGAAATGTGGGCCATCACAGTGAGTCTTGTGTTTATAATTTAAAGTTTCTGAAAATTTTCTTCCTGTATATATTGTGTTAATTGAATCTTCTTCCCTTCATCTTCCCTTTCCCTTACCCAGTCCATCTGCTTACCTTCCTTAACAACCTGAATTTCTTTTTGATTCTTCCCCTGGACTTCTGGTTTTTAAAAATGGGCTGCTAAATCCCATGAGAGTTCTCATTTTTCCTTTCATTTAATAAATTTGTGTATTCTTAGTATTTCCTGTGGCTGAGGTGTCTCTTGGTGTGAGCTCATCTTAATCCAGAGTCCTGTTCTGTGACCTGCAGTGGGCTGTCCTGGACATTGTTGTGGGTGCTTTGTGGGTTGGAAGCTTTTTGCACAGTGGTGCACTTGGTCTGAAGTCGTGCTGGTGGTTTTTGGTGATGCAATATTGATATTCTGCCTAGATCTTCTGTCCAATGTCAAAGTGGTTACAGTGGTCTGAATTATCTCATTGTCTGTCTCTTCCTTAATGTCTGACTAAGCATGTTTTGTGTGGGTGTTTCTGTCTTAAAGATTTAGTTTTATATTTATTTAATTTACATGTATGAGTATTTTGCCTCAAGTGTGTGTGTGCATGTGTGCAACATGTGTGTGCCTTGTATATGTTGTATGTAGAAGAGAACACTGGATTCTCTGGGACTGAAGTTACCAGTGGTTGTGAACCATAATGCATGGGCTTGATTTCAGGTCCTCTGCAAGAGCAATCAGTGCTCTTAACCATTGGGCCGTCTCTCTATCCCTGAGTAAACCTTCATGACATTATCTTTTGCCAATTATGTGATTTTTTTTTCTTTTGTCCTCAGGTTGTCATTTTTTCTTCTGGTGTAACAAGTGCATTACTCGAAATCTCATGAAATTTAACTTTATATCTGGCATCAATCTTTACTAGAATACCATCTCTGTTTCTTCCTCAGTTTTAGAAATCAGTTGTTGCTCATGGATTGGCAGGATTAATATAATAAAAATGGCCATCTTGCC